TGGCTGGCCAGGGTATCAGACAGGCTGGGGGGCAGCAGGGGTTCTGAGGACAGTCGGGATCCTGGAGAGAGGGAGGCAGGCTGGAGTTGTTCAGGGTTTGAAGATCTATTTCTGGGGTCCTTGGGGGGCTCAGTTCCTCTGAGCTGGCCTTAAAATGGGGCCATGGGAAAGGCCCCCTGTCACTGGGGTTTGGGGGATCCCTTCCCTCCTAGGCCCCCCCAGACCAGCCGTGCAGAGCCAGCCCACAGTCCTTGGTGGCAGCCAGCGGCCAGTGCTACTTGTCGGTGACCTGCCAGAGCTGTGGATCTTTGGGGTAACGGCCTTTCCCAGGAACCACTCGTGGGGGGAGGTGGGGGGGTGTCTCTGGCCTTCCCGGGCCTTGGTCTGTGGCTGATCCACCTTCCCGACCACTGTTGCCAGCTCTGCAGCTCCAGGCTGGCGGTTCTGTGTCATGGCCAGTCAGCACTCCCTCTGGGCCACCCCTGCCATGGCTGAGCCCCCCAGCTCCCCCAGCTGGGAAAATCTGCATTTAACCAGTGCCCCCAAAGCAGCTTGTTTCAATCCCCTGACTGGGATTTGTGTGGGTACCAAAATCTGCAGATTTCCCTCCTCCCATTGGGATCCCAGCAGGACAGAAGAACAAGCCTGACAGGCACTCCCTGGCTCCCCCTACCGCCCTACTGACAGCACCAGCAGAGAGACAGAGAGCGAAAAGATCGGTGGGGGGAGGAGGGGCAGGAGTTAGTGGGGAAATGCAGGTTGCAATTGAGGGGCACTGGCAGAGTGTTGGGGGGAGCCCAGAATGGGGATCAGTGGTCAGGATTGAGGGGCATTAAAATCCACCCAAAATCCCCAGGTCAGGCTCCTCCTTCCAGTCCGCTCAGCCCGCCCCCTGGGGGCTCTGCCACTCTAACCTCTCCGCACCCCTTTCTTTGTTCCAGCGGGGCGAACGGGGCTCCCAGGCCCGCGCTCTCCTCCCTCCCTGGCTCGCTCCCGGCAGCCGGCTCTGTCCCTGAGACCCTTAACCTGTGAGGGCAGCGCAGAGTTCACAGGTGAGGTTCTTGGGAGCTGAGCGACTGACCCCGATGCAGCACTCGCCAGTGGGATAGGTCTCAGCCCATTGCGCCCGGGAGACACTGAGAGCCCCCCCACAACCACCAGCTCCCATTCCCGAGCCAGGCGCTCTGCCCCCTGGGTTAGAACTTACGTGCCGCAGACTTCTTGTGCTTCCCTGGACGCGTCGAGTGCCTGTTCGTGCCTCAGTTTCCCCAGCTGCACAATGACACAACTGGGCCCTGATCGCAGTGGGGTCTGGTGGAGTCTTGGCTGAGCATGGCCTGTGTTTGAGCTGAAACAGGCCTGGGAGAGCACGAAACACTTCTCCCTACCCCCATCCCTGGCTCGCCTGAGGGAGCAGGTTTGACGGGTGTCTCTGTGCCTTTAAGGCTCCTGCTCCCAGAGACACCATCAAATGGCTGAACCCCAAAGCACGCAGCATGGACCCGCTGAGCCAGGCAGTATGGGGAGGCTCCTCATCACCTACAGCCACAGACTGAGAGAACCCAGGAGTCCAGGCTCCCCCACCCCCACTTCTAACCACTAGACCCCTCTCCCCTCCCAGCTGGGGAGAGCACCCAAGAGTTCTCCCAGCACCCCTCCCCCCTGCTTTACCCACTAGACTCCCATCCCCTTTTCTATGGTAACTACTTGGAGAAACAGCTCTCACAGCGCCCCTCGCCCCCGGCCCGCAGCCCCGGCTAGCGCAGATCTGCACAAGGTGGGAGTTGGGACCCCAGGGCTGGGGGGCAGAGGCTGCGGGGCAGGAGTGAGGGGTGCCGGCAGGGTGGGGGGGCAGGGCTGGGCTGGCAGGGGCTGCGGGTCGGGAGCGAGGGGCACCAGCAGGGCAGGTGGCAGGGGGCGGGGGGTGGGGGGGGGGCACCGGCAGGGGC